ACATAGATGGTTTTGAAAGGCAGAAGATTACAAGAGCTGTTGTCAGCAGCTTGTGATAGTGTAAATCATCACCTTCTCCTGAGAAAAAATTATAATATCACAAAGGACTACCACCTCACCTGCTTCATAGGAAATCTGGTACAAAACATGAGCTTTTTTGCTGAGTTCCAGGGCCAGAGAAGCAGATGGCGAAAACAGAAGAATGGCTTGCCTCCAGGGAGCTTGCTTGCTCCATCAGTATTCAACATTTAAACAAATGATGAGCCACTGCCATAAGGGACAGAGAATTTCATCTGTGCTGACGATCGTGCCATTACCACTCAAACAGCGAGATTTGAAATGGTTGAACAGAAGCTCTCCAAAGTTTAGGTGCTCTTACTGCCTATTACAGGGAAAGCCAGCTGATTCCTAATCCATCTAAAACACAGACATGTGCTATTCATCTTAAGAACAGACAAGCATCTCAAGTTCTGAGGATTACCTGGGAAGGAATCCCACTGGAGCATTGCAGCACACCCAAATACCGGGGAGTTACTCTGGACCGTGCTCTGACTTATAAGAAGCACTGCTTGACTATCAAGCAAAAAGTGGGTGCCAGAAATAACATTGTACAAAAGTTGTCTGCCACAACCTGGGGATCACAACCAGATACAGTGAAGACATCTGTCCTTGCGCTTTGATATTCTGCTGCTGAGTACACATGCCCAGCGTGAAATCCATCTCACCACATTAAAACAATTTTACATCTCCCTGCTGCTTTCAGATACTAACTCGGCTATAACTTAAAATGTCGCCAAGTTCTGCACAGAGTGATTAAAATCCGGCAGTTGATTACTAATAGCACAAGCTAGTACAGGTCAGGATTTCACACTAGCAGAAAATTGGAATTATTGTATTTTATTATGGTGTGGATGTTGCTCCCTCCTCTGTTTGACTGGACTTCCCTTCCCTGTGCCACATGAGCACCCCAATTCCTTCCCTTCAGACTCCATTCCTTTTAATTCCATAAACTGTGTTGGGTTTTGATATAATCCTGTGTATGGCTTTTAGCTTAGATTCTTTAGTTAATTGTCTTAATGTTCTAATAGTGTTACACTTATTTTAAAGTTTTAAATCTCTTGACCCTTAAATCCAATGTGCTTGTATGGGACTGTGTCCCTCTTCTCTCAAGCTGGTCATTGACCATAATAAAGTGAACTTGAACTTGATCCTGGGAGTAACTCTGGACCGTTTGATTGTCAAGCACTGCTTGAATATCAAGCGTAAAGTGGGTGCTAGAAATAACATCGTACGAAAGCTTACTGGCACAACCTAGGGATCACAACCAGACATCTGCCCTTGCGCTTTGCTACTCTGCTGCTGAATACGCATTCCCAGTGTGGAATACATCTAACCACATTAAAACAGTAGATGTGGATCTTAATGAGACATGACACATTATCAGTGTGCTGGAAGAAGCAAAGACCAACCTCAAAAACTGTGGCATAGACACTGAGAACTGGGAAGCCATGGCCCTTGAGTGCACTAACTGGAGGTCAGCTGTGACCAGCACTGCTGCAGTATTCAAAGAGGCACAAATAGAGGGCGAAAGGGAGAAATGTGCCAAGAGGAAGGCATGTCAAGCCAACCCTGATTGGGACCGCCTTCCACCTGGAAACAGACATCCTCACTGCGGGAGAACATGCGGGTCAAGAATAGGGCTCCACAGCCACCTTACGTATCCACCTCCAAGACACTGCACTTGGAGGACCATCATCCTTGGGCTACAGGGGATTGCCTAAGTAAGCAAATAATTATCACAGGATGTCTACGCCACTGGAGAAATTATACTGTTTAGCCGGTATTGCACCACCTGATATTTGTCAGGAAGTAGCAGCCAGTAATGAAAGGACCACAGCATGGACATCTCCGACCCATACTCTGTTTGGATACCAGCCGGCAAGCTAACACCTTAAATGAAGGAAATTTCCTAAGAACGACAGAGATACTTGCAGGAACACCTCAGCAAGCGAGAGTCCAAAAGTGGCAGGCTAAAACCCGGAACCTCAATCCATGGCCGATACTGGCTGAGACTCCCTCCTGGGCACACAGAAGACTGGGCGACCCGGAAGGCGCTGGCACCACAAGATGCAGAGCCAACCTTAAGAAATGGAGCCCACAACAGGCGAGTGTGGAGAGCAAACCACAGACCTCGTATTACAATGCAGCCTGAGCCTGCCACATACACAAGGGAGGACCTTCTCACAGCCACACCAGAGGCACTCCAAGTGGCCAGCTTCTGGTCAAGGGAAATGTATTATCGTGCCAAGTTTTTAACTTTGTGTTTTTTAAATACATTTTAACTGTATTCTCAATTTGCTTCTGACACAATAAATAATCTCCAGCAAAGGTTCGCCGCCTTGTCGTGGCACTGGAACTTGAGCACCTCAATGATGTCACGAGTGAAACGTGAAGACCCACCCAAGACGGGACGGTCATGGCAGAGAGGTCAGACCAAGCGCAATCCCTGGGGAAGGCAATGCTAACAACAAGGCAGCAGGAGACGACGGGATCCCAGCTGAACTTTTTTAAATCTTGAAAGATGATGCTGTCAAGGTGATGCATGCCATATGCCAGCAAATATGGAAAACACAAGAATGGCCATCAGACTGGAAAAAATCAACTTATATCCCCATACCAAAAAAGGGAAATGCTAAAGTTTGCTCAAACTTCCGTACAGTGGCCTTTATTTCTCATGCCAGTAAGGTAATGCTCAAGATCCTGCAAGGAAGACTCCAGCAAGACATGGAGCAAGAGTTGCCAGATGTTCAAGCTGGGTTTAGAAAAGGCAGAGGAACGAGAGACCAGATTGCCAATATCCGCTGGATAATGGAGAAAGGCAGGGAGTTTCAGAAAAACATCTATTTCTGTTTTATTGACTAATCTAAAGGCTATGACTGTGTGGATCACAATACATTGTGGCAAGTTCTTGGTGGTATGGGCATACCAGGCCACCTTGTCTCTCTCCTGAGGAATTTGTACAAGGACCAAGTAGCCACAGTCAGAACTGACCATGGAAGAACATACTGGTTCAAGATTGGGAAAGGCGTACGACAGGGTTGGATACTCTCACGCAACCTATTCAATTTGTATGCAGAACACATCATGCGATGTTCAGGGCTTGACAAATGAAAGGCTGGGGTGAAAATTGCTGGAAGAAACATTAACAACCTTAGATATGCAGATGATACCACTTTGATGGCTGAAAGCGAGGAGGAACTGAGGAGCCTTCTAATCAAGGTGAAAGAAGAAAGCGCAAAAGCTGGGCTGCAGCTAAATATAAAAAAAACCAAGATTATGGCAACAAGAATGATTGACAACTGGGAAATAGAGGGGGGAAACATAGAGGCAATGGCAGACTTTGTTTTTCTAGGTGCAAAGATTACTGCAGATGCAGACTGTGGCCAGGAAATCAGGAGATGCTTACTTCTTGGGAGGAGAGCAAGGGCCAATCTCAATAAAATAATGAAGAGTAGAGACATCACACTGGCAACGAAGATCCACCTAGTCAAAGCCATGGTATTCCCTGTAGTCACCTACGGATGTGAGAGCTGGACCTTAGGGAAGGCTGAGCAAAGGAAGATAGATGCTTTTGAACTGTGGTGTTGGAGGAAAGTGCTGAGAGTGCCTTGGACTACGAGAAGATCCAACCAGTCTATCCTCCAGGAAATAAAGCCCGACTGCTCATTGGAGGGCAGGATAGTCGAGGCCAAGATGAAGTACTTTGGCCTCATCATGAGAAGGAAAGCTTAGAGAAGACAATGATGCTGGGGAAAGTGGAAGGAAAAAGGAAGAGGGGCCGACCAAGGGCAAGATGGATGGATGGCATCGTTGAAGTGACTGGACTGACCTTGAAGGAGCTGGGGGTGGTGACAGCCAACAGGGAGCTCTGGCGTGGACTGGTCCATGAAGTTACGAAGAATCGGAAACGACTGAACGAATGAACAACAATAAATAAATCATTATTTTTTTATCTCAATTTCCTACTTCTTGACCTACATTTTCTCAATCACTTTCTCATTAATGTATTGTCAAAGGCTTTCATGGCCAGAATCACTGGGTTGTTGTAGGTTTTTTCGGGCTGTATGGCCATGTTCTAGAGGCATTCTCTCCTGATGTTTCGCCTGCATCTATGGCAAGCATCCTCAGAGGTAGTGAGGTCTGTTGGAACTAAGAAAAAGGGTTTATATATCTGTGGAATGACCAGGGAGAGACAAAGGACTCTTGTCTGCTGGAGCTAGGTGTGAATGTTTCAACTGACCACCTAGATTAGCATCTAATGGCCTGACAGTGCCTAGAGCAAACTTTTGTTGAGAGGTGATTAGATGTCCTTGTTTGTTTCCTGTCTGTTGTTGTGCTGTTGTAATTTTAGAGTTTTTTTTTTAATACTGGCAGCCAGATTTTGTTCATTTTCATTTCTCATTAACTTCGCTCTCATCAGCTTCAACTAATCCTTCATATTCGCTTTAATTTTCTTCCTTTCCTTCTTCATGGTTTTCTCCATCTTGCTGATTATCTTCTTCTCCAGTCTTCAAGTTTTCATTTCCTCCATTTTTCTCTTCATCTCCTCTATTTACATTTTGTACTTCAACTCCCTTTTCTTCATTATTTCCTTCCTCTTCATTTTCTGCTTCTTTGTCTTCTTAATCTTCACTATATTCTTCTTTTTTGAGTACTTAGTCGCCCTTTTAAGGACACTGAGCAAAGAAAAGAATACATATTTTCCCCTCATGAGGAAAACGCCTTCATTTTCTATGGCGTATGTAGCACTCACTCTTAAGATACAGCTAAGAGAAATGACAGGTTTCTTGTCTAATAAGAGAGGACGCCAGAGTCGAACGCCTCTTTTGATTGGCTATTGTCTCTGTGTTTCCCCACCCTCCTTCCACTAATCTTCCAATGGGCGACGGCTCTTTAAAAAGTGTCTCTCGGTTGCGAAGGCAGCAAAGCTGAGGAGAATGGGACGATAATATGCCTTATTGTTCCCTCTGATTGGCAAAAAGCCTGAAGAGGGCGGGCGGTAGATAAAATCCTTCGCTCTCATTGGTTCCGCCGCGCAGAGCTTTTGCCGCCCAAAGTTATATCGAGTTTGCGCTGTGAAGGGGCGAGGTGTGGGGGACGTCACCACCAACGGCCTAAAGGAGGAAGTTGGGCTTCGTACTCGAGGGGTTGCGGAGTTCGAGGCCCGCTTTCCCCAACTTTGAGGTAGAACTAAACGTTAATTAATGTTGTGCAATTAAGAGGCGAGCGGGAGGGTGAACAAATGAGAAAACCTTGGGAAGCTGCGAGTTTTCCGGGCTGTATGGACACGTTCCAGAAGCATTCTCTCCTGACGTTTCGCCCACATCTATGGCAGCGATCCTCAGAGGTTGTGAGGTCTGTTGGAAACTAAGCAAGTGGGGTTTACATATCTGTGGAGAGAAAGAACTCTCGTCTGCTTGAGGCAAGTGTAAATGCAGCAACTGATCGCCTTGGTTAGCATTGAATATCCTTGCAGCTTCAAAGTCTGGCTGCTTCTTGCCTGGGGGAATCCTTTGTTGGGAGGTATTAGCTGGCCCTGATTATCTTACATAGAATCAAAGAGTTGGAAGAGACCTCATGGGCCATCCAGTCCAACCCCCTGCCAAGAAGCAGGAATTTTGCATTCAAATCACCCCTGACAGATGGCCATCCAGCCTCTGTTTAAAAGCCTCCACCACACTCCGGGGCAGAGAGTTCCACTGCTGAACGGCTCTCACAGTCAGGAAGTTCTTCCTCATGTTCAGATGGAATCTCCTCTCCTGTAGTTTGAAGCCATTGTTCCGCGTCCTAGTCTCCAGGGAAGCAGAAAACAAGCTTGCTCCCTCCTCCCCGTGACTTCCTCTCACATATTTATACATGGCTATCATATCTCCTCTCAGCCTTCTCTTCTTCAGGCTAAACATGCCCAGCTCCTTAAGCCGCTCCTCATAGGGCTTGTTCTCCAGACCCTTGATCATTTTAGTCGCCCTCCTCTGGACACAGTATTCCAGCTTGTCAATATCTCTCTTGAATTGTGGTGCCCAGAATTGGGAACCACTGACCGATAGGAAAACCGATGAAGGAACACAGCCTATATCTATCTAACTAACTAAGAAAACCCAACAAGTGTTCCATTCAGCAAAGGAACACAGCCTACAACTATCTAACTAACTAAGAAAACCCAACAAGTGTTCCATTCAGCAAAGGAACACAGCCTACAACTATCTAACTAACTAACTAAGAAAACCCAACAAGTGTTCCATTCAGCAAAGGAACACAGCCTACAACTATCTAACTAACTAACTAAGAAAACCCAACAAGTGTTCCATTCAGCAAAGGACAAGAAGGATCAAGATGACAAATTGCGACATTCACAGCTGCCTCCTGCTGACAAGTGATCTTTCTCCCACCCAGGACATTCCACAGATATATAAACCTCACTTGCCTAGTTTCTAACAGACCTCATAAACTCTGAGGATGCTTGCCATAGACATGGGTGGGTCAGGAGAGAATGCTTCTGGAACATGGCCAGACAGCCTGGAAAACTCACAGCAACCCAGTGATTCTGACCGTGAAAGCCTTTGACAACATGGATGGGATAAACTTGTTGCTCGGAAAAAGGTAATGAAGGTGTTTAGAGTGGGATGTGAGTTAAGTTTGGAGTTGTGTTAAATCAGTGGTCCACAAGAACAAAAATATGGGCCGCAGCCTAACCATTACTACATTGTTGCCTCGAAACCATGCGGTTTTTGAAGCTGCAAGGCCATTCAATACACTTTGGGTCCAACCTATCTCTGAAACCACATCTCCTTCCTGTCGCACATGACAGAGGGCAATGCCAGCTAGTTTATAAAGTTTATCAGCAGAAGTAGGTTTAAGATATCCTGGGACAATTCTATATTCAATGCTATGCTCACCTGCTTCGCATGGACAGATTTGTGCCGAACAGAGCAGGCATACTCAGCAGTTGAGTAAGACAAGGCCAGGGCTAATGTTCTTATTAATTTTGGGTCTGAACCCCATACACTATTGGTAAGTTTCCACAGGATGTTATTGCATGCAGCTACTTTGTGCTTGGTGTTCACACAGTGTTTCCTAAATGTTAGTGTTCAATCTATGGCAGTGATGGGCAACCTTTTGAGCTTGGTGTGTCAAAATTTGCCAAAAACCAGAGCATAACTTGGGTGGGGTGTCAACTTCGAGAAAAACAACAACATAATTTTGCAATATTTATAGTTTAAATAAGAAAAATATATATTCCATGCTGAGTTATGGAGTGAACAATGCTCAAACGTGCAGATGTTAAATTTGTAGAGCCTTTTACAAATTTAAGGATGGAATTAGATTGGCTCTTATAAGGTGTACTTCTCTGTATGTGGATGCGTGTCATCAAAAATAGCCATGTGTGTCAGTGCTGACATGCGTGTCATAGGTTCACCATCATGGATCTAAGGTGACGTCGAGATGTTTAGAGTGGGAACAGTGTTCAAGCTCTTGGCCTTCCCAGGTAACTTTCAATTTCCTGTTGGCTTCACGATTATGTAGGTGAAAAGCACACACTTGTGTCTTGGCAGGGTTAGGCTTCAGGTGGTTATCTTTGCAGTAGCTGGAGAGATCTTTCAGGGCATTTGTAAGTTGGACTTAAACTGTTTCAAAATCTTTTGCTTGTGTTGTTAGGCCTACGTCATCAGCATATATAAAGCTCTTTGTGAGTCGTGGTTGTGGCTGATTTGTCAGTAAAGATGTTAAACAAGGTTGGTGCAAGAATGCTGCCTTGTAGGCTTGGGCAATCCATGGTTCTAAATGGTTCTAAAGTACTTACAAAACTAAAGTTCTGATGGTGAAAATTTCAGAACTCTAACAAAACTCTCAAAATTTCATAATAAATGGCAGTTCCTAATTGGTTCTGTCATTAAAATCACCAATAATGAAATAATAATTAAATTTTGAAAGTTTTGTTAGAGTTCTGAAATTTTCACCACCAGAACTTTAGTTTTGTAAGTACTAAAGTACTTTAGAACCATTTAGAACCATGGATTGCCCAAGCCTACTGCCTTGAGGTAGACCATTCTTTTGCCCCCTCCATCTACTTTTCCTGCCCTGAACCTCCACATAGAAGGCACAGTTTTCTAGTAGGGTCTGGATAGTTCGTGTAAAATCATAGTCCTGGGTGATATGTTAGACTTTATGCAGCATTTTCCTGTGTTGCATCGTGTCATAGGCCTGCCATAAGGTCCACAAAAATGTTCCCATAGTGCAACCTTTCTCATAGCCTTCCTCAATAAACTTGGTCTGATTAAAAATTTGAGCTGCACTGTTTTTCCCTGGTATGAAGCCTGCAAAACTGGGGTTCGGCAAATCATAATTATAATAATTAATAATAATAATTTGGGTATATCGGGTATTTGTGCCAAATGTGGACCAGTGAATGAAAATACATCCTGCATATCAGGTATTTACATTATGATTCATAACAATAGCAAAATTACGGTTATGAAGTAGCAATGAAAATAATTTTATGGTTGGGTGGTTACCACAACCTGAGGAACTGTATTAAGGTGTTACGGCATTAGGAAGGTTGAGAAACACTGACATTCACAAAGGTAAAGGCATCTCCGGCATCTGGAGGCTGTGCTCGAGTTCGGCCACAGGGGGTGCTGTTGCTCCATCTTCCATGCTGGGAAGCTTTGTTGTCCTTAGACGCTCACCGGATCGAATCGCCGGCATGTCCGCATGGGCACCTTTTATTACCTTCCCATTAAAGCAGTACCTATTTATCTACTCACATTGCTGTTTTCAAACTGCTAGGCGAGCAGAAGTTGGGCTGATAGTTGAGAGCTCACCCCAACCAGGGCTTGAACTGTCAAACTTTGGATCTGCAAGATTTTCTGCAGCTTACAGTTTAACCTGCTGTGCAAAAGCCCGGCGGGCCTAGCTGATTTAATAGCAGCCTCTTGTATAATTTATACAGACGAGCTGGAATGTGTCCAGAGGAGAGCGACTAAAATGATCAAGGGTCTGGAGAACAAGCAGGGGCAAAAAAAGCCAGTGGGATTTTGGCCTGCATCAATAGGAGTCTAGTGTCTAGATCAGGGGTCCCCAAACTTTTTGAACAGAGGGCCGGGTCGCAGTCCCGCAAACTGTTGGGGGGCCGGATTATAATTTGAAAAAAAACATGAATGAATTCCTATGCACTCTGCACATACATTATTTGCAGTGCAACCCCCCCCCCCCAAATAAAAAAACAAAGACCCACACTTCTATATAAATAAAAATGTAATGTTCGTTTGTGGGATTAACAGAACTCAAAAACCACTGGACGAATTGACACCAATTTTAGACACAAGACACCTAACAACCCAATGTATGTCCTTCACACAAAAATTTTGTCATTTGGGAGTTGTAGTTGCTGGGATTTATAGTTCACCTACAATCAAAGAGTATTCTGACCCCACCAACGATGGAATTGAACCAAACTTGGCACACATTTCTCCCACGACCAACTGAAAATAGTGGAAGGGTTTGGTGGGCAGTGTCCTTTGGTTTTGGAGTTGTAGTTCACCTACATTCAGAGATCATGGTGGACACAAACAATGATGGATCGGGATCAAACTTGGCACAAATACTCAATATGCCCAAATGTGAACACTGGTGGAGTTTGGGAAAAATAGAATCTTGACATTTGGGAGTTGTAGTTGCTGGGATTTATAGTTCACCTACAATCAAAGAGCATTCTGAACCCCACCAACGATGGAATTGAACCAAACTTGGCACACAGTTCTCCCATGACCAACAGAAAATACTGGAAGGGTTTGGTGGGCAGTGTCCTTTGGTTTTGGAGTTGTAGTTCACCTGCCTCCATCAATCACTGTGGACTCAATGATAGATCTGGACCAAACTTGGCACTGATATTCCATATGCCCAAATGGGAACACTTGTGGAGTATGGGGGAAATAGAATCTTGACGTTTGGGAGTTGTAGTTGCTGGGATTTATAGTTCACCTACAATCAAAGAGCATTCTGAACCCCATCTAAGGTGGAATTGAACCAAACTTGGCACACAGTTCTCCCATGGCCAACAGAAAATACTGGAAGGGTTTGGTGGGCAGTGCCCTTTGGTTTTGGAATGGTAGTTTACCTGCCTCCTTGGAGACCAGAGCGGCCGGAGCAGAGGGTTCCTGCAAAAGCCGGAGCGGCGCCGGGTGGGTGTGGCCAGCAGCGCCGGGTGGGCGTGGCCAGGGAACGCTGGCGTTCCCTGGCCACGCCCACCGCACCGCTGGCCACGCCCGCCGGCGCCGCTCCAGCCTTTGCAGGATCCCTCTGCTCCGGCCGCTCTGGTCTCCAAGGAGGCAGGTAAACTACAAAAGGCTTCTCCCTCCCACACGAGCAGAGCGGCCAGAGCAGAGAGTTCCCGCGATGGGCGGAGCAGCGCCGGGTGGGCGTGGCTAGGCCAGGCCAGGCCTCGCGGGCCGGAGAAATGCCCTCGGCGGGCCGCATACGGCCCGTGGGCCGTAGTTTGGGGACCCCTGGCCTCAATCAAGGGAAGTCGTGTTACCCCTCTATTCTGCCTTGGTTAGACCACACCTGGAATATTGTGTCCAGTTCAGGGCACCACAATTAAAGAGAGATATTGACAAGCTAGAATGTGTCCAGAGTGACTAAAATAATCAAGGGTCTGGAGAACAAGCCTTATGAGGAGCGGCTTAAAGAGCTGGGCATGTTTAGCCTGAAGAAGAGAATGCTGAGAGGAGACATGATAGACATGTATAAATACGTGAGAGGAAGTCATAAGGAGGAGGGAGCAAGCTTGTTTTCTGATGTCCTTGAGACAGCATCAAAGATAGCATCAAAACAAAAACCAAATAAAAATATATCACAATAAAAAATAACATCATAAAAACAGTACTATTCAGAACGATAAAAGTGCTGAATTCAGAGGGCACTGGATTTATGCAAATTCCTAGACAGAGCTAAGGGAATAGTAGTCATTCATAGGACATACCAAGTCAATCAAATTTCTAGAGGGAATACCTCTGTTAGAACTTGACCATAGACATAGGCTTATATCTGTGTCTTTTTTATTTCCACAAACAGGGGCAATGACGGAGGAGGAATATGTCTTGTGCAAATGGCAGGGGCGCCTGTGGCCAGCAAAGGTGATGTGCTCCTCCAATCCCTACATCTCTCTTTGGTTTTCTGCTTCAGATACAGCATCAGTGAGGATGTTAGTGGTTTGGGGGCATTTTGAACCCACATACAAATATGCAACTGTAGTTACACAGCATAAAGCAGGCCTGCACAACATGTCACCCATGGGAGGGAGGGAGAGAGGAAGAGAAAGGGAAGGAAGGGATAGAAGAGAATAGAATAACTTTATTGTCATTAAATAAATTAAATGTTTTCCCAGCACACATCACAAAACAACACACCCACCCCTCCACACACACCCCACCACCGAACAGCCACCAATTCCACATCAATGCAAAGCCGTGGAGCTCCAACATGGCCACAGCTCTAGGATAAAAGCTATCTCTCAGTCTGTTTGTCCTTGCCTTTGTCACCCTGTACCATCTGCCAGATGTTAATCTTCTATCTTCTGTACACATAATCAAAGTGAAAATATGTATATATGTGTGTGGCTCGGGGGTCCACTTCCACAGAGAATACGACTCTGCATCCACAAACAGCTATAACTACCACTACTCAGGAGACACCAATGGCTCTCTCCCCAATGACATTGCCGATTATACTGAGCGCCATGAACATGTCCAAGATCCCTGCCAATGTCCTCCACAAACACCAGGCTGCCCACCACCCAAGGGAAGGCTTTCATATGGGGACATTTTCATCCTAGAATTTATGTGTTTCCTCCACCACAGACATCCCAGGGTTTCTTACTCTCTCCATTGGTGTGGAATTTGCATGACCAATAATGGACCTGGACTACACTTGGCACACAGAACCCCCATGACTAACTCAACCTACTGGAGGGGTTGAGGGGACTGACTCACCATAGTGGGAGTTGTAGTTTACCCTGCAGCCAAAGAGCACACTGAACCCCACCGGTGATGCATCTAGGGAAGTCATGGTGCTCCTCTCTTCTGCTTTGGTCAGACTTCCTTACCTTGAATATTTTTTTACACCTTTCAGGTTTTATATAGAAACCCGACTTCCAGGAAGTCTGCTTCCATGCGCGTTGAAATCTTTTGCCTCCAGAAACAGTTAAGTGTCCTTTCGTCTCATCAATTTAGGCACTGAATGCATAAGGGCCTTGCTTTCATCCTTTTTCCTTTGGCTGGCTGGCGGGTGGGCGGGGGGGGGGGGGGGGGGGGGGGGGGGGGGGGCTAGAAAGGACACTGCTCTGTAGGCATAGCTCAGTTCTCCAACATGAGTTTATCATCGGCTTCCATAGAATCACCTGGAGAGGCCTAGAAAATGCCTAGAGAGAATATGTTACTGTATATACTCGAGTATAAGCCTAGTTTTTCAACCCCCTTTTTAGGTTGAAAAAGTTCCCCTCGGCTTATACTCGAGTCAAGGTTATTTATTACTTTACTTTGTTATTAGTATCATTTTATTACATGAATTATTTTAATCTATTAATTATTATTATTATATTTACATTATTTTACTCTACAGTATTATTATTTTATTATTTATTATTTTACTCTATATAGATTATTAGTATTATTTATTTACTCTTTATTATTGTTACATTTATTATTTTACTTTATATTTATTTATTTATTTATTTATTTATTATTTAGAACTTTTATATACCGGTCTTCTCACCTCCTCAGAGGGACTCAGGCCGGTTCACAACAACAGTATCACAGACAATAATTTAAAACACCATATCCCATAATACACTAAAATATTAAAATACTAAAATACAATCATATAATTACATAGGCCAAGTCGTCAAAATGAAATCGTAGTTCATCTCCATCCGTCCGTGTAGTCACGAGTTATTAACTCACTTGTCAAATGCCAGTTTCCAGAGCCTGGTTTTCACCTGTTTTCTAAAAGTCAGGAGAGAAGGGGCAGTTCTAATCTCCAGTGGGAGAGAGTTCCAGAGCCGAGGGGCCACCACCGAGAAGGCCCTGTCTCACGTCCCCACCAGACATGATTTATTGTTACTGCATTTATAATTTTACTCTGTTAGTACTGTTATTACATTTCCATTATTTTACTCTATTATTATTATTATTATTATTATTACTATCTTGACACAAAAACACAGTATGACACAGCAAATGAAGTATATATGCTGGATTTCATTATTATTATTATTATTATTATTATTTTACTCTATTATTATTGGAGGGATACAAATTTACACTGAGGATTAGAATAATTTAATCAGAGCTGGACAGTCTTATCTTAAATTACAGTTTTATGTAAATATTAAAAAAACATTTAACCTACTGATGCCTCAATTAATGTAATTTTATTGATATCTATTTTTATTTTGAAATTTAACAGTAACTGCTGCATTTCCCACCCTTGGCTTATACTCGAGTCAATAAGTTTTCCCAGCTTTTTGTGGTAAAATAAGTGCCTCGGCTTATATTCCGGTCGTCTTATACTCGAGTATATACGGAAAATACAATTGTTCTGAGCTTGCACTTCAAGTAAATCACCTTGCAGGCCTTCCAAGTGGCTTCCTGTTGAGTAATTTCTCAAAGGGAAAGGCATTTAAAAAAGAAAGCACTGTGGCAACAACAGTAGCAGTTTCTGCAGATCAGAAGCTTCTTCAGCGCAGGAGTGGAGCGAATGAGCCTCAGCAATTTACAGGAGGAAAGTCAAGCTTTAAAAGGGGATAATAGAAATTGCAACCCAACAGCCCTTGTGGCTCTGAGGTTGAGGAAAGGTTGAGTCTGACACATGCATCCTAACATAATTGTTAGCAATTCCAAATCGGTCTCCTGATATGGTAAGTTGGTGTAACCAGGATGGCGGTCCCTCCGGATTGAAGGTGGTGCTGTTGAACGCCAGGTCTGTCAATGGTAAAACAACTTTCATCCAGGATTTAATCCTGGATGAACGGGCAGATCTGGCGTGCATCACGGAGACCTGGCTGGACGAAGCTGGAGGTGTGAATTTGACCCAGCTTTGCCCGCCAGGTTTTTCCGTGCAGCACCAGCCGAGATCCGGAGGGCGGGGAGGCGGGGTTGCAGTGGTCTATAGAGATTCCATCCCTCTGACCAGGGGCCCCATCCCACAGTCAACAAATTTTGAATGTGTCCATCTGAGGGTGGGTGACCGGGACAGAATAGGGATTCTGCTAGTGTACCGTCCACCTCGCTGCACTACAGTCTCCCTGCCTGAGCTAGCGGGGGTGGTCTCGGACCTGGCATTGGAGTCCCAGCGGCTGCTTGTGCTGGGGGGCTTCAATGTCCACGCCGAGGCCGCCCTATCGGGAGCGGCTCAGGACTTCATGTCTACCATGGCAACCATGGGGCTGTCCCAATGGGTATCTGGCCCCACTCACAGCGCAGGACACACATTGGACTTGGTTTTCTGCCAGGGATGGGAGGAAGGTGGCGGTGTTGAGGAGCTGTCCATCTCTCCGTTGCCATGGACCGACCACCACCTGGTCAGATTTAGACTTACTGCACCCCCCAACCTCTGCAGAGGTGGAGGACCCATTAAGCTGGTCCGCCCCAGGAGGCTTATGGATCCTGATGGATTCCTGATGGCTCTTGGGGAGTTTCCCGCCACCTTGGTAGGTGATCCTGTCGATGCCTTGGTCGCTCTCTGGAATGGGGAGATGACTAGGGCAATAGACACGATTGCTCCAGAACGTCCCCTCTCAAGTAGCCGAGCTAAACCAGCCCCTTGGTTCACTGAGGAGCTGGCAGCGATGAAGCGAAGGAAGAGGGAACTAGAGAGCGTGTGGCGTTCGGATCCGAGCGAGCCAAATCGAACACGGTTTGTGTCCTTTCTAAGGGCATATGCCGCGGCAATAAAAGCCGCAAAGAAGACTTTCTTTGCGGCCACTATTGCGTCTGCAAAGAACCGTCCGGCTGAACTGTTCCGAGTTGTCAGAGGCCTTTTAAAACCCACCATTCAGGATGGAAGCCCTGGTGACTCGGCAGCTCGCTGTGAAGCCTTTGCTCAGTTCTTTGCAGACAAAGTCGCTTTGATCCGCTCTGGTCTGGATTCCATATTAACGGCAGTCTCTGAGGATGTAACACGAGCACCTGCTTGTCCAGCTTTGATGGATTCATTTCAATTGGTGAAACCCGAGGATGTGGACAAGATACTTGGAGAATGAGGCAACCACATGCATCCTAGACCCCTGCCCATCCTGGCTTCTAAAGAGGCCAGAGGGGATTGGCAGAGTGGGTAGGTGGTGGTTAATGCCTCCCTTCGGGAAGGCAAAATTCCAGCCAGCTTAAAACAAGCTGTAATAAAACCGCTGTTGAAAAAACCATCACTGGACCCCACTCAATTCGTCAACTATCGGCCTGTTTCCAATCTCCCCTTTTTGGGCAAAGTCTTGGAACGTGTGGTGGCCTCACAACTCCAGGTATTCTTGGTAGACACGGATTATCTGGATCCGGCACAGTCTGGCTTTAGGCCGGGACATGGTACCGAGACAGCCTTGGTCGCCTTAGTGGATGATCTGCGCCGGGAGCTCGACAGGGGGAGTGTGTCCCTGTTGGTGCTGCTGGACCTCTCAGCGGCCTTCGATACCGTCGACCACGGTATCCTTCTGAGATGCCTCGCGGGGATGGGTCTTGGAGGTACTGTTTTGCAGTGGCTCCGGTCATTCCTAGAGGGCCGGTCTCAGAAGGTGTTACTGGGAGACACCTGTTCAACCCCACAACCTTTGTCTTGTGGGGTTCCTCAGGGCTCAATACTGTCTCCCATGTTGTTTAACATCTACATGAAGCCGCTGGGGGAGATCATCCGGAGTTTCGGGGTGCGATGCCATCTGTACGCATATGATGTCCAACTCTGTCACTCCTTTCCACCTGCTACAAAGGAGGCTGTCCAGGTCCTGAACCGGTGCTTGGCTGCTGTGACGGTCTGGATGAGGGCGAACAAATTGAAACTGAATCCAGACAAGACAGAGGTACTTCTGGTTAGTCGCAAGGCCGAACAGGGTATAGGGTTACAGCCTGTGTTGGATGGGGTCGCACTCCCCCTGAAGACTCAGGTTCGCAGCTTGGGTGTGATCCTGGACTCATCGCTGAGCCTGGAACCCCAGGTTTCGGCGGTGACCAGGGGAGCATTTGCACAATAACTTGTGCGCCAGCTGCGCCCGTACCTTGGGAAGTCTGACTTGGCCACGGTAGTCCACGCTCTGGTTACATCCCGTTTAGACTACTGCAACGCTCTCTACGTGGGGTTGCCTTTGAAGACGGCTCGGAAGCTCCAACTAGTCCAACGCTCGGCAGCCATGATACTAACAGGAGCGGAGCGCAGGGAGCATACAACTCCTTTGCTGCACCAGCTCCACTGGCTGCCGATTTGCTACCGGGCTCAATTCAAAGTGCTGGCGTTGGCCTATAAAGCCCTAAACGGTTCTGGCCCAAGCTACCTATCCGAACGTATCTCTGCCTATGAACCCACCAGGACTCTAAGATCTTCTGGGGAGGCCCTGCTCTCGATCCCGCCTGCATCACAGGCACGGCTGGCGGGGACGAGGGACAGGGCCTTCTCTGTGGTGGCCCCTCGGCTGTGGAACACCCTTCCCATGGACATTAGATCAGCCCCTTCGCTAATGGTGTTTCGAAGAAAACTAAAAACCTGGCTGTTTGAACAGGCGTTCGGATAAATAGTGCAATGAACACGATGAATATAGGAAACGGAATTATGGATGACAATTGGATCACGATTTTAGTTACGAGACGTTAATGTGTTGTTATTGAGATGTCATTAGTTTGTATTTTATACTGTTAATGGTTTTAATCAGGAAAAATTTATAATGTAGGCGCATAGCTAAAGTTTTGTTTTACGTAGTTTTGAAGATCAAATTAGGTAGGTGACGTCCCCCATTCTCCATACACTGAGTAAACCGATTTCTGGCGTTTGTCAAGACTCTTGCCAGCATAGCAGGCGTTACGTTGGCAATTTCTTCCTGGATGTTGGTCTTCAAATCTTGTCGGGTCCTTGGACGGTTCACAGAAACATGGGATTTCAAAAAATCCCATAGAAAAAAATCACAAGAGGCCAAATCTGGAGAGCGGGCCGGCCACTCCAAATCCGCTTGAAAAGTAGGCCTCAACGGCAAAAGCACGCTCCTCACTGTTCCAACGCATGATGGCGACTGAACTGTGTCAGGACAAAACTTTATATTCCCGCCTCTTCAACCGACTGAATGGCACGCATTTTAAAAAAGGAAGTGATGCTGCCTCACCCTGTACTATGTTTTGTTTATTTGTATTATGGAAACCTAGTTCTTGTAAACAGTGCCACCATATTATTTTACAATAAAGAAAAGCCTCCTATGGAAGAGATAACATTGGTCTGTGTGTTTTTGTTCTTTTTATCACTTTGGGCTACTGGTGGTGGGTTACGCTGCTGCTAATATGTTAGTCTGCTATACATTCATGGGGAGGGTCTTTTGTTAATAAACCCTCTTGCCCAACAATAATTTCTCGAAGAATCAGGTGTTTTCTTTCTTCTTTTTTTTCTTAAAGGGCTGATGTGTCCTGTGCCGCTGTGCAACCCTTGAAGAAGGAGACTATAGAAGACATTGCCGAGAAATTAGGTACAATTTGCTTTTTTTTTTAAAAGGGACTTTTTATATTTGCCTGCTATAGCAGGTTGCATAGGAGAATATCCCAAGTTAAGTGGAGATGTCATAGACTCCTAGAGTTGGAAGGGATCCTAAGGGCCATCCAGTCCAAGCCCCTTCTACCAGGCAGGAAAACACAATCAAAGTACCCCTGCCCATGGCCATCCAACCTCTGCTGAATCCTGGTCTCCCACAATCCTAATCCGGCACCCAAACCAGGAAGGATTAGTTAGCGGAAAGGTGCAAAACAAAGTTAGTGTTGGGGCTCAGCAGGATGCTGGGATTCTGATTCTGAGGTTGAGATTTTCACTAAGTCTGTGTCTGTTCCTCAGGTTGATACACAGACAGAAATGAAGGCCATAGATCACAATAGCGGCAATAACTGCAGAAGAAACAGGGTGTTACCCTTGAGAATCAGTTTCTCAGGCCTCCCCAGCCTTCAGAGGATGGGGAGTTGCCCCGACATTAGGTCTCCACTCAGAGAGAGCTACAGGAAGGTTAATGAGAAGGTCAAAAAGAATTAGTGAGAAACAGTCCTTGAAACACAGGTGCAAAAAAGTTGATCTCATGTTTGTTTATTATTATTTATTTACAGCATTTTTACTCTGCCCTTCTCAACCCCCGTTTTGGGGGGGGGGACTCAGAGCGGCTAACAAAGGCAGCAATTTGATGCCACAATCAGTAACACAGTATAAAACCATAAATACATACAGAGTTAAAACAGTAGCAATTAATTATAACCAAATTATCATAACAGTCATTAAAAACAATACTCAGTCCACAAACCCACTGATAGAACAATAAAACCGTATCCTCATACGTATCGTCTTGCCAATCCATTTCCAGTCAAAGACCTGACCCATGTTTGTTGGGTCAGGTCTGAGCTTAAATTAGGTGCTGTTCACCTGGACTTTTCAGAGCAGGCAACTTCGTTTTAACAATCAAATTCATGACCAGCTCTCAAGTTTGCCCATGTTTCTGAATGGATTTTTTCCCCTTGCTTAAGTTTCTGTTTCCATGGTATGGATTATTGACTATGCTCGACTCCTTTGATTTTCATGTACTTTGTTATTTAGGTTTTCATTTACCTTGCTCTTGGGTTTCCCGTATCATGATATCTTGAATTTTCATGGACATTACCATTTGGGACTATAGATCTTTGCATTTTGTTCATTTGCTATTTTATAGCACCTTTTCTACTGCCTTTTGGGAAATACCCTTTTCGCCTTTTTCTATATGTCTTCTGTGGTTGTAACTACTGGACTCTGACTGATGCTGAGTGAAAAGGTGTTCCCGATCGAGTGCATGATAGCTTAGGTGCCTGCTGTTGGTTACAAAGATTTCTTATGCTACCGAGTAGAGTAGAAATAAAGGGACAACATGGCAAAGTGTTTTCAGCTCTGGAGGATCTGATTCCATACTTAGTCATGGAAACGGTTAGCTGATCTTGGTTACGTCATATAGCCCTGGCATAAATCTCAGCCCAAGATCATTAAAAAAAACCAACCATAATATATAGCCCCAGTTCCATGATAGGTTCATCATACTTAAAAGGCACACAACGAAGAATATGAAACAGTTGTAACACCCAAATGATGACTTGAATCCATGGATTGCCCTTCAGGTAGTACATTTCAATCTACATTTCATCAGTGGATTTTTACTTGTATCTTGACTCTGTATATCTTGATGTGTATCATTTAATAATATTTTATCTCTTATTTCAATGTTGTATCCCATCTCGAGCTATTATTATATTAGGTCTATGCCACCCTAATATAGAGGCAGCTGAGGTTCATTGGGTAGATTAAGTATTGTGTGTGTGTGTGTATGTATGTGTGTGTGTGTGTGTGTGTGTGTGTGTGTGTGTGTATATATATATATATTCGCCGTCACCTGCCACACGTTGCTGTGGCCCAGTCTGTGTATATTTGTTTTGTGTGTGTGTGTGTATTTGTGCATATGTGTATATGTATGTTTGCGTATATATGTGGTTTTGTGCATGCGTTGTAATATAATTTTTGTTTTATGTCTTTTAAAGTCTCTTCTGCTGTGTTTTTCAGTGTTGTTTTTTTTGAGTGATGATCAGTTGTTGGCCTGATACATGTATTGTGTCCAAATTTGGTGTCAGTTTGTCCAGTGGTTTTTGAATGATGCTAATCCCACAAACAAATATTGCATTTTTATATATATACTAGCTGTACCTAGCCATGTGTTGCTGTGGTCCATTGTGGAGAAATGGGAAAGAAAGAAAAGAGGAAGAGCTGGTTTCTATGCTATCAATACACAACGGAAGTGGCAAAGTGTTAATATAGGCCCATTTCAGTCTCCTCGAGGCCAAAGGGTTATATGGATGTGTGGAAGGGCCCTGGGTTACCTGAGTCACACTGCCATATAACCCAGTTCAAAGATATTATATAGGGATTATTATTATTATAGATGTATAGATATTATTATAGACATATAGATATTATTAAAATAGACCTATATATATTATTATTACATACATAGATATTATTATTAAAAACTGAAAGATATTGTTATGATAGATATATAGATATTATTGTTGTAGATATTATAGCCCAGGGTTGCTATAAAGTAAAAAAATGGATGGCCATCTGTCGGGAGTTCTTTGATTGTGCCTTCCTGGACAGCCTTTCCTAACTCACAGAGCATGCATTTCCAGCTTTTGTCCTTTCTTTGAATACTGGACTTCATTTCCCAGAATTCCTTCTCATAACTCAATATGGGCAAGCTTTCTGGGAGTTGAAGTGTGTAGAGATATGTGTGTGCATTTAGGGTGTGTGTGTGCATTCACATACACACACGCGCGCACACACAGAATCTCTCCTGTGCGAGTTCCCAGCTATCCCCAAACGTAGGAGGGTGTTTTCTTTGGCTAAATTCAATGTACTCCCTTCTGCTGTACTGGAGGGAAGATATAACAAATTATTATTATTATTATTATTATTATTATTATTATTATTATTATTTACAGTACTTATATTCTGCCCTTCTCACCCCAAAGGGGACTCAGGGTGGATCACAGAACACACATATACGGCAAACATTCAATGCCGATTATACAATGACAAGACAGACAACAATTAGAGGCATCCTTGGAGGCTGTGCTCAGTTCCAGCCACAGTGGGGTGCTGTCTCTCCATCTCCTTGCCAAAGAACTTTCTTTGTAAACTTTCCTCCGAAACACTGTGCCTAAAATACCTCCCTGCTTAATGCAGTTCCTATTCATCTACTCACATGGCTGTTTATGATCCACTAGATGGGTGGGGAGCTGGACTGAAGGTCAGGAGTTCACCCTGACCCGGCTTCACACTGTCAACCTTTTGGTTGGTAAGATTTACTGCAGCTGGCAGTTAACCTGCTGTGCTAAAGCCAGCCCTGTGTGTATTTTACACATAGCAAATCCCAGATTCAATCCAGGGAGTCTTGGTAGAGACATGTCTGAAAGCCTAGATGGCCCAGCTAGTGCATGTTTGCTCTTCCTCCTCAATAAGATGTTAATGAACAATTGCCATTATTCCCAGTTGCCAGGGACTGGTGGTATTACAACACAAGCTGGAGGGCTGTGATTTCTCCTGCCAAGATGAGAAAGGTGCCTCTATGTTTTTAAAGGACAGCTAACATTTCTCTCAACAGTTCAGAACAAGCAAAGCTATAACTCCGTGGAGTTTGAGCTGACCTATCGCCGGGCTCTGAAGGAAGCATTGGTTCTCTTGGAAACCGCCTTGCCATCAGGAGACAGTCCTCTAAAGAAAAAGCATCCAGCCCAGGAAGACGCCCAGGAGCGAGCTTGGTTGCCACCTGCAACTACGCACAAAGCCCCACCAGACAGGGCTGAGGAACAGGAAATCGAGGACACTCTCCCCGCATCTGAATTCGCGACAAACCCACGGTCGTCTCTCAGAACCAGAGTAGGGAGCCAATCGCCCTGTTCCTCAATGGAGGCCGCAAAGCGCCATGAAGCTGTGGACACTTCTGCCAGCCCGGCTTCAGAATGTTTGACTGTTGCCAGCCCTCTGGCAGTGCCTCCTTCGCATAAAGGCTGCACTGTGGCCACCACAAGCCGGAGGAAGAGTTTGTTGGCAACTCCCAAGGATGGCGAGTTGTCTAAGGAAGGTGAGGCGATCCCGAAAGGATCTGATCGAGTGTCTAATAACAATCAAAATCCCTTGAATGGAATTCCATCGCAGGACCATAAAACTGTGTCTCCCACTCCGAAAAAACAGTGTAGGCTTTGCTTGGAAGACGTAGATCTGGAGCCTTTGCCCGAGGGACCAGCTTTCAAATGGGAGGGAGAGGAAAGCTGGATTCTCAACAGGGAACCATCAAAGCTTCCGAGCACTGATGCTGGAAAAGGTATAGTAATTGGTGGATTGAGGGTCTGCATAGAGCAGTGGTTCTCACCTTGTGGGTCTCCAAGTGTTTTGGCCTACAACTCCCAGAAATCCTAGCCAGTTTACCAGCTGTTAGGATTTCTGAGAGTTGAGGGCCAAAACATCTGTGGACCCGCAGGTTGGGAATCACTGGCATTGAGTAAGACCCTTGTATCCATGTGGGATATGTTTCTGGTGAGACCGCCATGACCCAAAACCATGGATACAATCAAACGTTGTTAAATTAGCTGACTTCCCAGTATCCCGTAGAGTTGCATTGGAGGACCTAGAACACATGTGTCAAATCCGCGGCCCGTGGGCCGAATCCTGCCTGCCATGTCATTTGCTGCCACCTTCCAGATGCTGGATTACAACTCCCATCTTCCTCATCGTTAGATATCATGACTAGAGCTGATGGGAGTTATGATGCAGTCACATCTGGAAGGCTGCAGTTTGTTTTGTTTAGTCAGGAGACTTGGGTTTGGACTTAGATACAAGGCTTGTGGATTTGATGCCTGACTTTGAAATGCCCTTTTACCTTTCTCCAGCTTCAGAGCTACAAGGGCTGTTGGATTGCAATTCCCATGTTTCGTTTTATTTATTGTATCTGAAGCGAGTTGAAAATGCAGTTAGATTGTAAGCCGCACCGAGTCCCTTGGGAGATGGTAGCAGGGTATAAATAAAGTTTTATTATTTATTATTATTGTATAGAAAAATTACAAATAAAGTTTAAAAAATTTGGCATTATATGAAATGTCCTTTGATCAGAAGCTGGCCACTTGGAGTGCCTCTGGTGTCGCTGTGAGAGGGTCCTCCATTGTGCATGTGGTTGGGCTCAGACTGCATTGTTGTAGGTGGTCTGTGGTTTGCTCTTCTCCACACTTACATGTTGTGGATTCCACTTTGTTGTCCCATTTCTTAAGGTTGGTTCTGCCTCTCATAATGCCAAAGTGCAGACTGTTCAGCTGCTTTTCCCTGTAACAGGCAGTAAGAGCACCTAAAGCTTCGGAGAGCTTCTGTTCAACTATTTCAAAGTTTCCTCCTTAAGTGGTGATGGCACAACTGTCAACATAGATGAAATTCTCTGTCCCATTCCAATAATAATAATAATAATAATAATAATTTATTTATATACCACCCTATCTCCCCAAATGGACTCAGGGCGGTTTACAACAAAAGCAACAGAGTGGCAAACATTCAGTGCCAGAATGAACAAAGAACAAATCAACTCGAGCCACAGTGGCTTGATGAAGGGCGATGACAAAACCCTCCTGGGCCCGGCTTGGAAGAGGGCGATGATGAGACCCTCCCATGATCCCCAGTTAATCAGAAGTGATGCAATTTGTTATTCAGTAACATCTGGGGGCCCAAACTAGGTAAAAACTTGAGAGTATCAGCCACTGTGTAAAAAATTATGTTGTGCCCTCTCCATGTATTCTCCTCTCCTTTTCTCAGGCTGGATCTACACTGCCATGTAATCCAGTTTTTGAATCCAGATGATCTCCTTTGAACTGGATTATATGAGTCTACACTGCCATACAATCCAGTTCAAAGCAAATCTGGATTCAGAATCTGGATTATATAGCAGTGTAAATAGGGCCTCTGTTCAAGGCTCCAAATGGCTAATGACTGATATTTTTTTTCACAAAATAGTGAACAGTTTGCAAAAATACCGACGATTAAAAGAAACATATGTCTATAGTGTAGATGCATCCTTGGGCTTGTCTCTGTGGTCGATATCTTTTCAGAAATATTCCAGATTGTCTCACAGTAAAAGAGACATTTCAGCCATTAGAGCAAACAATAGAAAAAGGGTTTGCCGCAAGAAAGAATAGTGGTGCAGAACTGTGTTTTTTGGTGAGAATATAGTGCAGTTTCAGTCAGGTGAATTTGGACTTTCCCCCGGTTAAGTTAATAAGATTTATACCCTCGGAGTTTTACTCTGCATCTCTCTTCTTATGTCTTCAGAACTGGGTTCTATCGAAGAAGGGATGCTGGTTTGGTGCAAGACCCGAGGATACCCATATTGGCCTTCCGTGGTAAGATTTACTGATGTTATTAATTGTAACGGTTTGTGTGATTTGATAATTATTAGGACCTTATTATTAGTAATCTGTGCTTTCCTTATAAGCTACCAAGGGAGTCGTTTGAGCTGTTAGCACCTTCCTTGGGTGCGGAAAGTGCCGCTTCTGGGCCCCATGAGTCAGTCCTCCAAGAAGCCCACCTTTTACCCCCAAATTGGGGGTAATGTTTTAATAATAATTGGGAGGTACGGCTTCCTGCAAACAGGCTTCTCTGTCCCACGACCTCAGGAAATAGCCCAGCCTCCTTTCAGTAGCAGAGATCTATGTGCGTTTAAGCAGTTGGGTTTGCCTTCTGACAGGTGAAGAAGATGAAGTGGAAAGACAGGAAGGCCATCGTGCTCTTTGTGGAGAAAGGCATGGAGAACAAAAGCAAAGGGTAAGTAGAGCAAAGCAAAATTGCCGTGGTTTTTGCTCTCCTTTCTCCTGCATTTTCAAAGCAAGGCTTGTTCCTGCATTGCCTTCTGACTTCTCTGGCAGAAAATCGGCCAGGAAGAGAGTCAGTGGAAGAGCAAGGCCCTATTCAAAACTTCTACAGTAAGGCCCTATTACATCGTCTCTGCTGAGAGATTAATACATATAAATCCCTGTTAAAAATGGCTGCCACAATTTCTCTGCTGAAAGGCTTATGCATTTAGCCCCTATTAAAAATGGCTGCCCCGTTATCTATGCTGAGAGGCTTCTGCAGTAAGGCCCTATTACAAATGAATGCTACAATGTCTCTGCTGAGAGATGAACACAGTAAGGCCCTATTAAAATGGTTACCACATTGTTGAGAGATGAATACAGTAAGGCCCTATTAAAATGGCTACCATGGTTTCTATACTGAGAGGCTTAGACAGAAAGCCCCTATTAAAACGGCCACTGATGTTTTCCTCCTATTCAGATCTGTAGAGATCCGAACAATTTCCTCAGTTACCCCAAGCAAGACCATATTAGTCTGCATTAAAAGAAATGGTGTTAAACTGCGCTATTGTTATTATTCATTACTAGTGTTATTACTGATATTAGTTATTCCTCCCCACCCAAATACCTCTGTAAGGGCCCTGGTGGCACAGTGGGTTAAACCACTGAACTGCTGAATTTGCTTATGGAAAGGTTGACTGTTCAAATCCAGGGAGTAAGGTGAGACCCTGCTGTTAGACCCAGCTTCTGCCAACCTAACAGTTCAAAAACATGCAAATGTGAGTAGATCATTAGGTACCGCTTCTGCAGGAAGGTCACGGCGCTCCACGCAGTCATGCTGGCCACATGACCTTGGAGGCATCTATGGACAACGCCAGCTCTTCAATTTAGAAATGGAGATGAGCACCACCCCATAGAGTCGGACATGTCTAGACTTAATGTCAAGGGGAAATGTTTACCTTTACTTTACTTAAGGTAAAGGTTGTCCCCTGACATTAAGTCCAGTCATGTCTGACTCTGGGGTGTGGTGCTCATCTCCATTTCTAAGCCGAAGAGCCAGCGTTGTCCATAGACACCTCCAAGGTCATGTGGCCGGCATGACTGCATGGAGCGCCGTTACCTTCCCGCCGGAGCGGTACCTATTGATCTACTCACATTTGCATGTTTTCGAACTGCTAGGTTGGCAGAAGCTAGGGCTGACAGCGGAAGCTCACGCCGCTCCCTGGAATCGAACCTGCGACCTTTCGGTCAACAAGCTCAGCAGCTCAGTGCTTTAACCCACTGGGCCCTCTCTAAAAAATAGACTTAACAAGGCTTACAGTAAAACCAGTAGACTCCAATTCAAAACCTAAAAATGTACGGACATTAAAATAAAATTAAATATTAATGGCACTAAAACTAAACAGTTAAACGGATTAAAACCCCATACATAGCTAAAACTATACACACATTTGCGGTTCTGGTAGTCAGAGGGCTGAGGAATTCCCTTACCTTTTGACTGTTTCCTTTTCAGTAACTCTGTTTCCCTTCTCTTTCAATGCAGCTTCTCTGTCTGTCTCAGAAACCTCAAACACTTCGATTGCAAAGAGAAGCAGGCCTTCATAGTAAGTATGAAGTAGGCCTATGGCATCAAACTTGTGGGAGCAATTTTTGGATGGAGTTGGAAACCATGCACTGGCCTGGCTATGAAAGAAAAACAACATATAGTAACTATATCATTTGTATACTTACATTTCACATTTTGAAGTTCATTACCTGCCTAGCTGGTTGCATCCTTAGAATCATAGAGTTGGAAGAGAGCATTATCCAGACCATGTTTTACTAGTGTTATTTGCACAATGATCATGAGGGATGTTATCCAAGGCCTCATCGCAATCCAGTTCCGTTCCATCCACAGCATTCCCTGCATCTATCCAGTTTGTAACCCCATTAAAAAAAGAGATAAACATAAATTGTTTTGAAGGGACCCATGTTGACTCTTAGAGATCACAGCCTTTTTAAAGTGATGACAAGACTGCGTCCTTCATGATCTACTCCAGAATTCCTGATATCAGTGTCAAGCGGCTGGACACTGGTCATTGTTTGGGTCCTCTTTTTCCCCCAGGATGAAGCCCAAGAAGATTACAAGCACGAGATCAACTGGTGCATCCGTTCGATAGAGGACTACCAGATCAAAGTTGGTAAGAGGTCATTGCCCCTCTTCGTCCAGAAAAGGGAATGTCTTTATTCTGTGTTTGGCAGCAGGGGAGACTCTGGGTCTTTTCTGGAGCTGTCTGGGTTCTCAGTACGTTGTCTCCCTTCTGAAGGGTTTGGCATCAAACAAAGTGAGAAGAGCTTTTTTGTCACAAGTCTTTGATTTTGACTGGCCTGACATTTATTTCCAGCCTTTGGCCTCTTGTAGCTCACATAAGCCCTATTATCAAACATATCCCTTCCTCTAGATCTGGTCCAGGTTCAGATTAGAACATTATTGTTATTATTTTTAACCTGCCATTTATTAGGGTCTAGTCATTTTTTATTATTATTATTTTACTGACACAAAAACACAGTATGGCACAGCAAACGAGATCTGATATATATGCTGAATTTTGTATCCCAGAATCACAAGTCGAACACTTCCCAAGCATTTAGGACTGTGTGATATATTTTCGAATGATGTGCACAGATCCAAGTAAGGTGGCCATTTGCAGTTGGCAGATCATGATTTTGTCAATGTTTATTGTTTCCAAATGCGGGCTGAGATCTTTTGGCACGGCACCCAGTGTGTCGATTACCAGTGGGACCACCTGTACTGGTTTATACCAGAGCCAATTTTCAGGTCTTCATAATGGCTGAGTTTTTCCTGTTTTTTTTTTTTTTCATCAATTCGACTGTCACCTGGTATGGCAACATCAATAATCCAAACTTTTTTTCTTTTCCACAATTGTGATATCTGGTATATTGTGTTCCAAAACTTTGTCAGTTTGGATTCAAAAATCCCACAGTATTTTTGCGTGTTCATTTTCCACTACCTTTGCAAGTTTATGATCCCACCAGTTCTTTACTATTGGCAGGTGGTACTTGTGACATAAGTTCCAATGAATCATTTGGGCCATGTAGTAGTAGTTGTTGTTGTTATTGTTTAACTTCCCTGAATCTGATCTGGTCTATTATTATTATTATTATTATTATTATTATTATTATTATTATTATTATTTTATTATTACTATTATTATACTTACCTGAATCTGGTCTATTACTACTACTACGACTACTACTACTACTACTACTACTACTACTACTAGTTTGGGTACCTGGCATTGCCCGGGTTATTTGAAAAAGTCATTTTTAATTGTATAAAATGCATAAGGTGAACTACAACTCGCATCATGCCATGCTAACTACGAAAAACTCCATCAGTACTTAAAGTTTGTTATGTTAAGCAAGTTTGCTCTAGATGAATAATTGGTGGGGTTCAGTATGATCTCTGGCTGCAGGATAAACCATAGCTCTCACCTTGGTGGGTCAGTCCCCTCAAACCTCTCCAGTAGGTTCAGTTGGTTATAGGGGTTCTGTGTGCTAAGTTTGGTTCAGATCCGTCATCGGTGGTGGTCACAGTGTCTCTGGATGTACTGTAAGTTAAGTACAACTTCCAGAAAGAAAGGTCATTTCCCCCCAAACCCCTCCAGTAGGTTCAGTTGTTCACGGTGGTTCTGTGTGCCAAGTTTTATTTAGCTCTATCATCGGTGGAATTTACGGTTTCTCTGATTGCAGGTGAACTACAACTCCCAAAAAATCAAGGTCAATCCCCCCCGCCCCAAGTATTCAAATTTGGGTGTATTGGATATGTGTTTCAAGTGTGGTCCAGCTCCGTCATCATTTGGGTTCACAGAGTTCTCTGGATGTAAGTGAAGTAAAACTCCCCCAAATCAAGGCGAATTCACACCAAAACCCTCCAGCACTTTAGGTCCAGGTCCATCTTTGATTGCAAGTGAACTATAAATTCCAGTACCTACAACTCCCAGATAACAAGACCAATTCCTCCCAAAACCCACCAGTATTCAAATTTGGGCATATCAGGTATATTGGGTATGCATGCGAAATCTGGTCCATTGTTGGTGAGGGTCACAGTGCGCTGTCTTGATGTAGGATGAACTACAACTTCCATTATGTTGAGTCAGTCCCCCAACTCCCTCCAGTATGTTCACTTGCTGATCAATTGCTGTGCCACGCAGAAAAGGGTAGGAAAGGGTTATGCGAGAGGCAGTGGGCAGAATCATGCAAATTCCACACCAATGGAGAGAGAAAGAAACATTGGGATGTCAGTGATGAAAGAAATTGTCCTCGAATGAAAGCATTTCTTGGGTGGTGGGCAGTATGGTGTTTGGGGAGGCCATTGGCAGCAGCTGGGCTACATGTTCAGGGTACTTGCTATAACCTGCAATGTCATTGGAGGGAGGGACATTGGTGTTTCCTGAGTAGTGGGAGCTATAGCTATTTATGGAAGTGGGAGCTTGTCTGTGTAAGCGAACACACCAGCCACATATACATACATATTTTCACCTTTATTATGTGTATAGATTGTTGACCTCCCTGGGTGTGGTCATTTATAATAGTAATTATTATTAATAATAACCTGCATGTGTCTAGTCATTATTACTGTTATTAGTAGTAGCATCAGTATCGGTATTATTGTTTAACCTCCCTGGAATTAGTCCTTGAACTTCACTGGACACATTTCTCAAAAGAAGGGAAACCCTTTTGTCAATATACATATGAGGGAAAGGGAAAGACTTGATGTCCAGGTCTGGCAACATCAAACTTTGGGAATATTCCCTTGCAGATGATATAACAAACAGAAGTAAACAATTTGCTGGGTAGAAAGCGGAAGAAAAACTCCCATTTATAAAGAAACCGACCAAAGTGAAGCTGGAGATCCACTTCTAAAATCAATGTTTGTCTGTGTTGGGTAGTTTTAGAGGGATAGGTAGAGATTTGTGTTTGTTTAGCAATCATCACCTATGTCTATCTTTTTGTGTGTTTTTAGTATCCAAAAATTCAACTGAGCCTTCTCCTTTCCCATATAGGTTGCAATTCCTTCACAGGGTCCTTCTTGGAGTATTGTTCCAATCCCATGAGTAAGTATTACTTCAAGGTCACTACAAATCCCAGCATTGCATAGCATTGAGCCATAGCCATCAGATTAGAGACAGCGTCCCTCAAAGAGGAGCTGTAGGTGAAGTAGCTTCCCCTTTTGCTTTGGCTCAGCACTACGATTACCATATGACGCAAATCTAATGTGCACTCCAAATTTTCTGGTGGTTTTGGGCGTAGGCATCCTGTGATAATGCGGCATGTCTCATTAAGAGCCACATCCACTATTTTAACCGTGGTGAGATGTGTTCCACACTGGGCATGCATACTCAGCAGCAGAATAGTTCTTAAGATGTAAAGCACACATCTGTGTTTTGGAGGGATTAAGAATCAGCCGATAGGCAGTAAGAGCATCTAAAGCTTTGGAGAGTTTCTGTTCAACCATTTCAAAGCTCCCTGCTTGAGCAGTAATGGCATGATCATCAACATAGATGAAACTCTCTGTCCTTTCTGGCAGTGGCTGATCATTTGTGAAAATGTTAAACATGGCTGCAGTAAACATGCTTCCCTGAGGCAGACCGTTCTTCTGTCTTCGCCATCTGCTTCTCTGACCCTGTAATTCAACAAACAAGCTATTGTATTGTAACAGATTTCCTAGGTGGTAGTCCTTTGTGATATTATTCATGTTTCTCAGGAGAAGGCGATGTTTACAGCTCCTGTAAACATGGACTTAAGATACAAGTTAAAATCCACTGATGAAATGTAGATTAAAATTCACAACTTGAAGGGCAATCCACAGATTCAACTCACCATTTGGGTCTTACAACCTGCTTTATACTCTTTGTTGTGTGCCTTTAAGTATGATGAACCTTTCATAGAATCATAGAATCAAAGAGTTGGAAGAGACCTCATGGGCCATCCAGTCCAACCCCCTGCCAAGAAGCAGGAATATTGCATTCAAAGCACCCCTGACAAATGGCCATCCAGCCTCTGTTTAAAAGCTTCCAAAGAAGGAGCCTCCACCACACTCCGGGGCAGAGAGTTCCACTGCTGAACGGCTCTCACAGTCAGGAAGTTCTTCCTAATGTTCAGATGGAATCTCCTCTCTTGTAGTTTGAAGCCATTGTTCGCGTCCTAGTCTCCAAGGAAGCAGAAAACAAGCTTGCTCCCTCCTCCCTGTGGCTTCCTCTCACATATTTATACATGGCTATCATATCTCCTCTCAGCCTTCTCTTCTTCAGGCTAAACATGCCCAGTTCCCTAAGCCGCTCCTCATAGGGCTTGTTCTCCAGACCCTTGATCATTTTAGTCGCCCTCCTCTGGACACATTCCAGCTTGTCAATATCTCTCTTGAATTGTGATGCCCAGAATTGGACACAATATTCCAGATGTGGTCTAACCAAAGCAGAATAGAGGGGTAGCATTACTTCCTTAGATCTAGACACTATGCTCCTATTGATGCAGGCCAAAATCCCATTGGCTTTTTTTGCCGCCACATCACATTGTTGGCTCATGTTTAACTTGTTGTCCACGAGGACTCCAAGATCTTTTTCACACGTACTGCTCTCGAGCCAGGCGTCACCCATTCTATATCTTTGCATTTCATTTTTTCTGCCAAAGTGGAGTATCTTGCATTTGTCACTGTTGAACTTCATTTTGTTAGTTTTGGCCCATCTCTCTAATCTGTCAAGATCGTTTTGAATCTGCTCCTGTCCTCTGGAGTATTGGCTATCCCTCCCAATTTGGTGTCGTCTGCAAACTTGATGATCATGCCTTCTAGCCCTTCATCTAAGTCATTAATAAAGATGTTGAACAGGACCGGGCCCAGGACGGAACCCTGCGGCACTCCCCTTGTCACTTCTTTCCAAGATGAAGAGGAAGCATTAGTGAGCACTCTCTGTGTTCGTCCATTTAACCAATTACAGATCCACCTCACCGTAGTTTTGCCTAGCCCACATTGGACTAGTTTCCTTGCCAGAAGGTCATGGGGGACCTTGTCGAAGGCCTTACTGAAATCCAGGTACGCTACATCCACGGCATTCCCCGCATCTACCCAGCTTGTAGCTCTATCGAAGAAAGAGATCAGATTAGTCTGGCATGACTTGTTTTTGATAAATCCATGTTGACTATTAGCGATGACTGCATTTGTTTCTAAGTGTTTGCAGACCGCTTCCTTAACAATCTTTTCCAGAATCTTGCCCGGTATCGACATGAGGCTGACCGGACGGTAGTTGTTTGGGTCATCCTTTTTTCCCTTCTTGAAGATTGGGACCACATTGGCCCTCCTCCAATCTGCTGGAACTTCTCCCGTTCTCCAAGAACTCTCAAAGATTGTTGCCAATGGTTCCGAAATGACTTCCGCTAGTTCCTTCAATACTCTGGGGTGTAGTTGATCTGGCCCTGGGGACTTGAACTCATTAAGAGCGGCCAGGTATTCCTGGACGACTTCTTTCCCAATTTGGGGTTGGATGTCCTCCAATCCCTCATCCACTCCATCTTGCTGAGGTTGAAGACTCTCTTTTTGTGAGAAGACCGAGGCAAAGAAGGCATTAAGTAGTTCTGCCTTTTCCCTATCCCCTGTCAGCATTGCCCCATCTTCTCCTCGAAGAGGTCCTATCGCCTCCTTGTTTTTCCTTTTTCTACTGACATAAGAATAGAAGCCCTTTTTATTGTTTTTAATGTCCCTGGCAATTCTGAGCTCGTTTTTTGCTTTAGCCTTGCGGACCTTTTCCCTACAGGTGTTGGCTATTTGTTTGAATTCTTCTTTGGTGATTTCTCCCTTTTTCCACTTCTTGTGCATGTCTCTTTTGTGTCTTAGCACAGTTAGAAGTTCTTTGGACATCCATTCTGGCTTCTTTGCACTTGTCCTATTTTTTCTCTTTGTTGGCACGGTTTGCAATTGCGCCTTGAGTATTTCACTCTTGAGAAATTCCCATCCATCCGTAACTCCCTTGTCTTTTAGTATCTGTGTCCACGGAATGCTGCTCAGCGTTTCCTTCATTTTTGGAAATCAGCTCTCCTAAAGTCCAAAATGCGGGTTTGACTTGTCTTAGTTTCGGCCTTCCTTTGTACCTCAAATTGCAGGAGCACATGGTCACTTGCCCCTAAGGATCCTACCACTTCGGACCGCATCGATCAGGTCCTCCGCATTTGTTAGGATGAGATCAAGAGTAGCCAATCCCCTTGTTGCCTCTTCTACCTTCTGGACCATGAAATTGTCTGCAAGGCAAGCGAGGAATTTGTTGGACCTTGTACTCTTGGCCGAGTTTGTTTTCCAGCAAATATCGGGATAGTTGAAATCGCCCATGACTACTACATCTCTTCTCTGTGCCTGTTTGGTCAACTGTTGGCAGAAGACTTCATCAAGTTCTTCCTCCTGGCTTGGGGGGCTGTAGTAGACGCCTACAACGACATCTTTTTGAGTCCCAGTTCCCTTGATTCTTATCCAGATGATTTCAAGCTGGTTTCCCAGATTGCTGTCTTGAATCTCTTCTGCAGCATAAGAGTTTTTGACATATAAGGCTACTCCGCCTCCTCTCCCCTTTGTTCAGTTTCTGTGAAAGAGGTTATACCCCTCGATATCTACATTCCAGCGATAGGAGTCATCCCACCAGGTTTCAGTGATCCCTATGATATCATATTTGTGGTGTTGTGCTAAAAGTTGGAGTTCGTCTTGTTTATTTCCCATGCTCTGTGCATTAGTGTAAAGACACTTTCATGGAACTTGGGCCATGTTTTTTGTTTCTTTTCTAATGATCCTGGACTGAGATTTATGCTGGGGCTATGTGATTTAACCAAGATTACCTAATGGTGGATCTTGTTGTATGCCGTTTAATAATGTTTTATCTCTTGTTACAACGATGTTGCATTCCGTCTCAAACTGCAGGGAGAGGCGGGTAATAAATTCATTACTATTATTATTATTATTATTATTGCTCCATCTATGCCATCCTAATATAGAGGCAGTTGTGGTTCACTGGGCAGGTTGAGTGTGTATTTTATACACAGCAAATCCCAGATTCAGTCCAGGGAGTGTTGGTAGAGACATGTCTGAAAGCCTAGAAGGCCCAGCTAGTGCATGCCTGCTATTCCTCCTCAATTGCCATTATTCCCAACTGCCAGGGACTGGTGGTATTCCAACACAAGCTGGAGGGCTGTGATTTTTCGTGCCAGATATTTAAAATTTTGATTCAAGATGAGAAAGGTACATCTCTATTTTCAAAGGACAGCTAATGTTTCTCTTTACAGCTCAGAGCAAGCGAAGCCGCAACTCCGTGAAGAGTGAGGTGCCATCAGGAGCCGATCCTCTGAAGAAGCATCCGACCCAGAAAGACGCCCTGGAGCGAGCTTGGTTGCCACTTGCAATTACGCAGAACACCCTGCCAGAGCAGGGTGAGGAGCAGGAAATCAGGGATGCTCTCCCCTCATCTGAACTCGCAGCAATAAAAAACGAGCCCATTCTTTGTTCTGGGGAGTCTCCCCACCGTGAAGCGGTGTGCCACGGTCATGTGGGCAATGAAGGCTTGGAGGGTCAGCCATGCTGTGGCATTTCTAAAGCCAAAGGCCTGCAGTTGTCGCTCAGGACCAGAGTGGGGAGCAAATTGTCCTGTTCTTCAAAGAAGGCCATAAAGCAGCACGAAGCTGTGGACGCTTCCACCTGCCTGGCTTCAGAATGTTTGACTGTTACCATCCCCCCGGCGGTGTCTCCTTCATGCAAAAGCCACGCCAGGGCCATGGCAAGCCGGAGGAAGAGTTTGTTGGCATCTCCCAAGGATACCGAGTTGTCCAAAGAAGGTGAGGCGACCCCGAAAGGATCCGACCGAGTGTCCAATGACAATCAAAATACTTTGAATGGAACTCTGTCACAGAACCACACAACTGCGTCTTCCACTTCAAAAAAACATCATAGGCTTTGCCTGGAAGACTTGGATCTGAAGCCTTTGCCCAAGAGACCAGCTTTCAAAGGGGAGGGAGACGAAAACTGGATTTTCAACAGGGAACCATCAAAGCTTCTGAGCGCTGATGCTGGAGACGGTATAGTAACTGGTGGATTGAGGATCTGCATAGACCCTTGTATCCTCATAGGATACGTTTCTGGTGGGACCGTCATGACCCAAAACCACAGATAGGACCAAACATTGTTAAATTGGCTGACTTCTCAGTATGTTGTAGAGTTGCATTGGAGGATATAGAGCACGTGTGTCAAATCCATGGGCTGCATCCAACCTGCCATGTCATTTGCTGTAACCTTCCAGATGCTGGATTACCACTTCCATCTTCCTCATCGTTAGACATCATGACTAGAGCTGATGGGAGTTATGATGCAGTCTCATCTGGAAGGCTGCAGTTTGTTCTGTTTAATCAGGAGACTTGGGTTTGGACTTAGATACAAGGCTTGTGGATTTGATGTCTGACTTTGAAATGCCCTTTTACCTTTCCCCAGCCTCAGAGCCACAAGGGCTGTTGGGTTGCAATTTCCATATTTTATTTATCATGTCAGCAGCATCTTGAGAATCTATATATATAAAAATGCTCTGTGCATAATGAGTTTCCTAAAAACAAAAAAACTACAGGGCCAAATGACCCCAAATTTGACAACAAAACTCCTCACAATCCAAAGAGTGACCATCACTGAAAAAATAAACCCACAAAACACCTCTAAATTCAAAAAAGGAAGAAGACAACACACCTCCCCTGCCCCCCCCCCCCTCGCGCTGAGGACACAGAATGAGGGTTCCGAAGCAGCAGCGGCAGTTGCTGCTCCCTGCATGTCTCTCTGGGCCTAACTAACACTAAGGCAAGGGATCAAATGGTAGAGGCTGAGAAGGAGGAGGGGGAGGAGAAAAAGGAGGGAGGCGGGCCACACTCTGTGCACACACTCTGACTCTCTGTCTCCCACACACACACTCCCACAGCACAAGGGAAGGAGGAAGGTGCCATGATGGGGGTAATAGGGACACACGAAACTGACATTGCTTGGAAAGGAGCCCCAAAGACCATCCAGCCCAACCTCATTTGGCAGTAAAGGAAGACACCATCAAAGCCCTCACAACAGATGGCCAACCAGTTGGAAGGGAGCCCTAAAGGCCATCCAGTCCAACCCCCTCCTTCCCCTCCTTCCCTTTCTCTACTTCCCTTCCTTCTCCTTCCCTTCCTCCCTTTCTTTCCTTCCTTTTTCTCCTCCCCTCGCCAGCTTTGTCCTCCTTTATTAAATCTACAGTGTAGATGCACCCAAAGTCAAACCTTCCACATTGCCATGTAAAATCCAGATTATCTACTTAAGATTGAATATATGGCAGTGTAGACACAATTACTATCTATATATATAAATCTGTTAGGTTGGTTCAACGGGACAGCAAAACTCCACAACCCCCCAATGAAACTGCACCAAAATTCCCATGCCCATAACACAACCCACAAGGTACAAACATATCTACTCAAAATGAAAAACAACACAACACACTCACAAAACGGCAAAACAACAAAACTCAAAAATCCCCCAACGAAACTTAACCAAAATTCCCATGCCCATAACACAACCCACAAGGTACAAACATATCTACTCAAAATGAAAAACAACACAACAACACACTCACAAAACGGCAAAACAACAAAACTCACAACCCCCCCAACGAAACTTAACCAAAATTCCCATGCCCATAACACAACCCACAAGGTACAAACATATCTACTCAAAATGAAACACAACACAACAACACACTCACAAAACGGCAAAACAACAAAACTCAAAAAACCCCAACGAAACTTAACCAAAATTCCCATGCCCATAACACAACCCACAAGGTACAAACATATCTACTCAAAATGAAAAACAACACAACAACACACTCACAAAACGGCAAAACACAAACAAAAAAAAAAACCAACGAAACTTAACCAAAATTCCCATGCCCATAACACAACCCACAAGGTACAAACATATCTACTCAAAATGAAAAACAACACAACAACACACTCACAAAACGGCAAAACAACAAAACTCACAAACCCCCCAACGAAACTTAACCAAAATTCCCATGCCCATAACACAACCCACAAGGTATAAACATATCTACTCAAAATGAAAAACAACACAACAACACACTCACAAAACGGCAAAACAACAAAAATCACAAACCCCCCAACGAAACTTAACCAAAATTCCCATGCCCATAACACAACCCACAAGGTACAAACATATCTACTCAAAATGAAAAACAACACAACAACACACTCACAAAACGGCAAAACAACTGAGCATGCGCATTGGTGCCCAGCCGCAAGTTCCCTGGCGCGCGCACACAGTCCTTCCGGCCAACGTTCCCTCTGCAGAAGCCATGCCCACTCCAAGCCCCGCCGCGCCGCTTCCCGCACACACACACACCCTGCCGCACGCACACACACAACCCCACGCTCCATCACTCCCCCCGCCGCCGCACACACACACGCAACCCCACGCTCCATCACTCCCCCCGCCGCCGCACACACACACGCAACCCCACGCTCCATCACTCCCTCCGCCGCCACACACACACACACGCAACCCCACTCCCCCCGCCGCCGCACACACACACGCAACCCCACGCTCCATCACTCCCCCGCCGCCGCACACACACGCAACCCCACGCTCCATCACTCCCCCCGCCGCACACACACACGCAACCCCACGCTCCCCCGCCGCCGCACACACACACGCAACCCCACGCTCCATCACTCCCCCACTGCCGCACACACACACGCAACCCCATCCCCCCGCCGCCACACACACACACAGAACTCCCGCACACACACACCCCCTGCCACACACACACACGCAACCCCACGCTCCATCACTCCCCCCGCCACCGCACACACACACGCAACCCCACGCTCCATCACTCCCCCTGCCGCCGCACACACACACACAACCCCACGCTCCATCACTCCCCCCCCGCCGCACACACACACGCAACCCCACGCTCCATCCCTCCCCCCGCCGCCGCACACACACACACAACCCCACGCTCCATCACTCCCCTGCCCCAATCTTACCTCCTTTTACTTCACGCCACCTCCAAACCCCACCCCGCCCCTTCCCGCCCTGTCAAAATCCAGGAAAGACAGGAAGAGGAAGGAAGGAAGAAAGAAAGGGAGGAAAGAAGAAGGGGGAAGGAAGGAAAGTTAGGGAAAGAAGGGAAAAGAAAGGAAAGAAAAGGAAAGAGAGAAGGAGAAGGAAAGAAAAGGGGAAGAAGAAAGAGGAAAGAAGGAGAAAGAGAAAGAGGAGGGAAAGAAAAAGGGGGGAAGAGGAAGGAGAGAAGGAAGGAAAAGGGAAGAAGGAAAGAGGGAGCGAAGGAGGGAAGATGTAGAGAAAGAGGGAGGAAGGAAAGAAGGAAAGAGAAGGAAGAAAGAGACAGAGAGAAAGAAAAAGGGGGAAGGAGAGAAGAAAGAAAGGGGAAGGAAGGAAGAGAAAAGAGGGGAAGAGAGGAGAAAGAGGGAGGGAGGAAAGAAGGAAAGAGAGAAGAAGAAAAGAAAGAGAAGAAAAGGAAGGAAGGAAAGAGATAGAGAAGGAAGAGGAGAAGGAAAGATGGGAGGGAAGGAAGGAGGGAAAGAAGGAGAGAAAGAGGGAAGGTTGGCCACAGCAACATGTGGCGGGTAAAGGTTGTTATTTCTATTATTATTATGCTATTATTCCTATTAGACCCTGGGGGAATGAGAGAGGTGTCAGGTCCCAGAGGCAATGCATTGCATTATTGTTATTGTTATGATGGTGGTGAAATAAAAGGAAATAAAAAGTGAAAGAAGGAAGAAAGGGGGTGGGAATGAAGGAAAGAGAGAAGGATGAAACCAAGTAGTGAAAGAAAAAAAGAGGTAGAGAAGGAAGAAAGGAGAGAAAGGGGGAGGAAAAGGGGGAAGGAATAGGTAGGTACCTCTCTTTCATAATAGTCCAGATATCTACCTCAACTTTGATAAATTTTACTATAGGCCACAGCAACGCGTGGCAGGGCACAGCTAGTTATATATATAATTACTATTATATATATTGCTCTATAATATATATTATATATATATATTATTGTTATATATACACTACTATATAATAATAATATAATGTTACTACTATATATTACTATATTAAATAGACTCATAGAATAGAGTTAGAAGGGATTCTACCATGGTATTGGGGGAGAACAGACATTGATCCTTACATCACTTGTTACTTCAAAAATGAACTCTAACACCCCTTTCCTTTCTTAAGTAACAAGCCTCAACCATACAGCAAAACATAACACCAGCATACAGATTTACATACAGTCATTTGAACACAAAGATACAATTAGGAACACAAAGATGCAGTTACATTTTTCTTTACATCTCAGAACATAATATTATTCATTTATTCAATCTACTTGGTACCATAAACCTTTCTGGAGGTACTCCTATGTTTGCTCTTTTTGACCTCCTTGGGATTTGAATTAATTCTATGGTTTTCTTCTTTTCATAACTACTACTACTACTACTAGGATGTTCTCTTTTTAATCCGGTGCTTGTGCTGTAGCCTAGGTGACAGTTAATCTCCCTCCACTGTATGACTTGTTGTAGGTATTTCAACAGTTTCATTTTGTTCCTGCTCATATGAAACCCGTTCTGTCACACTGGACTCAGGGACCTGCTCACGTGCGAGTTCTGATATACTAGGTTCAGGAACTGGTATTCTTTCACTTTCCAGATTACTCTCTCCTGTATTATTTTCCTCCTCTCCGTTATCTATTGGTAAAAATACCTCAGTACCTTCCTTTGTTTCTCTTGGAGCCATCCTGCAATTATCAGCAGAAGAAAATACTTCCTTATTCTGGTGTATGTGTTTCCATCCAGAATGCTTCCCAAAATTAGCGCTTCTGGATATTACCACCTCATTGTATCCTAAATAAAAATGATATGCTTTGGTTCTTTCCTCATATCTGATGAAATTGAGTCTCTGCCGCTTTCTTTGCCCCTTTCTTCTAGCCTGCCTAGGAATTGAGTCTCTGCCGCTTTCTTTGCCCCTTTCTTCTAGC